GTTAAAATGTACATGACAACACATTGTAAATCCACTGAAACTATATCTAGGTGTGCAATAAAGTTGTCTGCTTGCAATATTGAGTGGAGCTAGCATATCAATACAATACTTTTCCAAAGTCAATGCTTAATCTTTGTCTCGTAAATTAGATCCATACAATACTTGCAGTATCCAAAGTCAATAGCATATTTGGTTCGCATAAATTGGCAATGATAAGTATTCGCGTAACTGATTTGTCTACTTGCAGTAACTAAAGTCAAAGTTTCATCTGATTATCATAAATGTCTAACTGGAATGTTCTAATTAACAATAACTATTCTTTAATAACAATGTATTCCACTGTAGGGTAATTATTTTGTGAAGGTTCGATGTCTATGTATTGTGGGAAATAAACCTATAATACTATTAGTAGCATATTAGAGAAATTGCTGTTTCTGTAATACATTGAAATATAATCTTTGATTATACATCACAGAAACTAGAAAGATTTGCCTGTTCTTTTTCGTGGATTTGATCAAATATGCCTTATGACCTTTGACCAAGGTTTAGCATTGCCATAAACCATACTGCTTAATCAGCTTTATCTGCTTAATAGCTTTATTTTAGTTACCATTTTAAAACCTTTTGTACGAAGAAAAATTAATGCTTCGCCAAAAGCTATTAAGACATAAAACCCCTATTAAACAATTTGACTTCCAATATTGATACTAAAAAAATCTAGTAAAATTTTTGGAAATCGTAACTTAAAATCATAAAACCAAAAATGTCTAGGTGCTATATTTTCATAATTCTTAGGTGCATCGGAACCAATTTTATATATTCCCAGGAAGCCTAAATAAGTGTTCAACCGAGTTAATAAAAACAGACTTATATCGAGGTAAGTCATACAGTTGAATTTTGTTTATAAAATAATATTCTTAAAAAATATTATTACCGTGAGCAGTTTTGAGACTAGTTCAGTCAATCACCGCTTGATGTTGCTACCATCGAGGCTCGCGACAGTTCACCTTGTCTCCGCTAGATGTCTCTTCAACCGATAACACTTAATCCAGTATAGTTTATATATTACTGACCGATTTTAAATGTTTAAACAATATAAAAAATATAAACAAAAACTGGTTTTAGGTAATATGTAGTAAGCTATACATTAGTAGTGGTCCTATTTTCAATCTAAAGCTGTGATATTTGACAATAATACATTTCTAGCGGTTGACACTCGCAGTGATTTAGTAGTTTCTCTTACAAGACTAGCCTCAACTGCTCCAATGGCGGGATGCACTAATGGATGATTGATATGATGATTCTTTAAAAAGCCGAGAGTTGAGCCTCTTACCTGAGACCGACGATTGGCTTATAATATAACTAGCCAGTACCCGGACCAGCGTCTATTTCTGTACCTGCGTTGTTATAACCATATGTCAAACAACACATAACACAACCATAATATATCATGCAACATAAGAAGTAATAGCCAGTCAATAGAGGTTTTGTGTCAGGACAAATAAGTGACAAGCAAGTCTATATATTACTGTAAAATACACATCAAGATGTACATTGTACCTAAAATCCCGTACTTGTTCGACCCCCCCCCCCCTCAAAGTCAGGAATTGTAAGGTTTTACTAAATAACGCATATATCAGATATGGCTCATTCGAATATAATAATCTTCAATTAGTTGCATTCCTTAATAAATTGTCTACAATAAAGAGCTTATACTTTTTTGCGATAAATCCAATATTTTCACCAAAATGCAATGAATAATTATGGAATCAAGCAATTTTTACGCTGATATTTTAGTTATTCTGCCAATTTTTTTTAACTATTAGGATAAATAATTGAAATATCCTTCCTCTAGAGGCTGTAGAGGATGACTTAATGAACACTTTCATATAATGAGTATAGGATTCCGACTTAGCCATGGGCAGAGGACGGCCCAACTACTAGACTGGAGTCCAAGCCTCGGCGATGCCGTGTGATTATAGTTTATCTCTTTGTAAATCAATAAAAATCATTATTTCAGCAAATGGATAGAAATATTGTTCCAACAATCATAGATTGCCAGGTTCTAGGCGCAAGGCTCAGTGGTTTAGTCAGCTGTTGGCTATTCTCCCATTATTTGTCATTTGAGTTTGGCGGTTACAAATAAAGGGTTCTTTACTTTACTGTGAGAGGAAAAAACTTTTGGTCTGAACCATGGACTGATATGTGCAATGTGCTTAGAACAATGATTGATACGTCCAATGATGTTTGTTGGTGGATTAACACATAAGCGAGGCATAACAGAAGGCACGTTCCAAAAGTGGATACATGGAACCTCATACTGTTTGCTGTTTCAAAGTCCACGAAGCTTTAGAGGAGTTCCACGAGACCTTATTGGCTTTTTATGAACGGCATGTGGAGACCCGAAATCCATGAAAAAGATAAGCTAAAATAAGTCCTACAATTAGTGGACTTGAAGTACACAATCCATTTACAGTACCGAGCATTTACAGTACTACGAGGTTATAATAGTAGTACGTTTTCTGTGCTACCGTCGAGGCTTGCGACGGACAGTTCGTCTAGTCTCCGCTAGATGCCTCTTAAACCGACAATACTCAATCCACGGTAGTTGAAATATTACTAACATTTTTTTGATTTTTAAACTTTATAAAAAATAGAAACAATATTTGTTTGAGACAATATGTAGTATGTTATACATTTAAAAATGCCCTATTTTCAATTTAAAGCTGTGGTATTTGACAATAATACACTTTTATTATTTGACACTCGCAGTGATTTTGTAGTATCTTTTAGATGACTACCCTTATTAAGTCCAGACCTATCCAACATTTTTACTTTTACTGTAACTCAGTACACTCATATACTCTTTGAAAAGCCGAAAGTTGTGTCTCTTACCTGAGACCGACGATTGGCTTATAATATAATAATATTAATCCATCTATCCTAACACAATGTCATAGTTACTTGTATATATAAGCTGTTGAGATCGTAAATATGGACTCGTGGTAGTCAAATCTTTATTTTTAAATGCATAGATTACTCTAAAGGTTGTAGAGGATGTCTTTCTGAGCACTTTCATACACATAAGTATAGCATTCCGATATAACCATGGGCAGGGGACGGCCCAACTACTAGACGTGAGTCCAAGCCTCGGCGATGCTGAGTGCTTATAGTTGATCTATTTGTAAATCAATAAAAATAATTATTTAAGCTAATGAATAAAAATATTGTTCCAACAATCATACCTTGCCAGGTTCTAGGCGCAAGGCTCAGTGGTTTAGTCAGCTGTTGGCTTTCCCATTTATGACTTGTCATTTGAGTTCGGCGGTTACAAAGAAAGGGTCCTTTACTGTACTGTGAGAGGAAATGGCTTTTGGTCTAAAACATGGACTGATATGTGCAATGTACATAGAACAATGATTGATACGTCCAATGATGTCCGTTGGTGGATTAACACATGGGAGAGGCATAACAGATAGCACGTTCCAAAAGTCGGTACAGGGAACCCAATACTGTTTCCTTTCTAATAGCATTCGAAAATTGTAGGGTTTACCAACAGGGTGCAGCACTATTTTTTGCATTTACGACAACAGCTAATTTGAACTAGCAGCAACAAAAAGCTGTGATACACAATGAGAACTGTCAAAGTAGAATTGTTCATTTTTGTAGAAATGTTTATGTTTTCATTTGATTATTGGTGACAATCATACAACAGAGAAGCTTAATGAGTGTTTGAAAATTATTACCTGTATTAGCCTTTATTGAAAGCTATCGCCATTTTACCCTGTTATTACAACTAAAGACGTGTGTTTATAACAAACCAACCACAGTATACTTGCAAATTACAATATACAGTACGAAGGGAAAAACATTGGTTATTATGAAGCAAAGATTACACTGAAGATTGCTTGATATTGTGGAAAGTAGTTCCAATGAAATACCGATTTTATTACTTGGCTCTCTCCTACCAAAACGTAATTCCTGAAGTACTGAGAGAATTGTTAGCAAACATTGGTTTAGCAGTGAAATAAATATTTAATGGTGCTATTTTGTTGTTAGCCATATTTCAAACAAACACATTTAATTAGTTTTTTTTCATTTAAAAATCTCAAACTGTCAAAACTATTTTCAGTATTTTCAATGAACCAACATTGTCTCCTCCACAAAATGGCCCCTTTGCAAAGCACGGGCACAAGTGGCTATTAGGAAATAAATTTGTCATTTTAATGGAATATTTTAGTGAAAATTCATCCAGGTAAATGGAAATTCACTTAATCTGAAGATTTGCTCCAGCGGGCTTAATGAGTGTTGATACTAGTTCAGTCAATCACCGCTTATATCGCTACAATCGAGGCTCGTGATAGTTGACTTAGTCTCCGCTAGATGTCTCTTAAACCGAAAATACTCAATCAAAGATAACTTATATAATACAATGTTTTTTTAATTGTTCACACTGTGTCAAAAATAGAAACACAATTGGTTTAAGACAATATGAAGTAAGCTATAAATTTAAAGTAGTCTTATTTTCAATCCAAATCTGTAGTATTTGACAATAATACATTTTTACCGGTTGACACTCGCAAGGATTTGTTAGTATCTCTTACAAGACTACCCTCAGTCTCGTAGTTCGTTGTCACTCACAGGAATAACTTTTGCTATTTACTTAACTGATTCTTTTAAAAGTCGAGAGCTGTGTCGTGCCTCTTACCTGAGACCAACGGTTGGCTTAAAAACAGCCCAAAATTTAATAGCTTATACCCGCCACTTTTCCGGCTACTATCTGTGACTCTGGTGTCAAGTTGAGTAAATTTTGCTGCATTGTATTCTGATAAAACTAATGAAATCAAAACTTTTAACGAGAAAGACAAAAATTAGAATCTACAAAACTATAGTAAGACCTGTACTTTTATATGGAGGGGAAAATTGGATCCTGAGCAAGAACTCAGAAAAGAAAATAATAACTTCTGAGAACAAAGTTTTGAGAACTATATATGGGCCAGTATGTGAAGATGGAGTATGGAGAATCCGCCACAACCGGGAGCTAAGAGAATTATTTCAAGACCCTGATATCATTGGAGAAGTTAAGAGTAGAAGATTAAGGTGGGTTGGCCATATCCTGAGGAGAAAGGAGGAGAGTCTACTGAAGACAGCACTCAGAGGAAATCCGAGGGGAAGAAGACCAATAGGTAGACCGAAAGCCAGGTGGTGGGGTCAAGTACGAAAAGATTTGGAAAGGATGAGGCTTGTAGAGGAAGATGCATGGGACCGAGACTATTGGCGACAGCGTGTTGGCGAGGCCAAGTACCAGCTAGGGTACAAGTGGCCATGGCAGTAAGCAGTAAGTAAGTAAGTAAGTATTGTATTCTGATAATAAAGCCTTTAAATCGTTGTACAAATCAATCTAGCACCTACCTATTTAAGATTTCCTTCTGACTCCTTGCGGGATGTCCCAATGATACGACAGAAAACTTACAGTTCCTTCAAAAGCTATAGTTTTAGCATTGACTATTGGATGTTGTATTGATAGTCAAAGGTTTTAGGTTCCGTTGTTCCAAAATCCAAATCCAATTCTTCTACGTTGTTCCAAATCTAATTGATTTATCTGTATCGCTTAGAAAATATTAAGCACGTGCGTGACTTTATAGATAATCCCTGTATAGATAATCTAACACTGTGTGATTGACAAGTGTCCTTAGTTTCTCGTTTAAGCTGTCGAAATCTTAATTTTAGTAGTCAAATTTTTATTTTTAAATGCACAGATTACAATTCTCTTTTCCTACAGTTACGTAACAATGTACATGTTCTCTCGCTGATTTGAGAAAGCAAAGTGGCCAATTCGCTCATCAGCGAGACAATGTTAACATTGTCTCACTCCAGATATGCAACGTGAAGGCACGAAGTAGGCCGTATGCGCGCGAAATACGTTGGCAGCACTGGCTGTAAATCAGCTGGTCAACTGTTGTAATGTTGTATTTGTCACAACACTAAATAACATATTAAAGGTTCACTTCGGTGTAAAAATATGTTACGTTTCTTTACCAATTCATTTGTTTTATGGTAACTGTAGGAAAAATATAATGTGCATCTCGAGTGAAAAGTGCAATTGCCTCACTCGAGAAACCATTCCTAAGGATTTCTCTCGAGTGAGGTAATTGCTCACTTTGCTCACTTTGCTCACTTTGCTCACTAGTTGCACAAATAACTATTTCCATTCTACTAATCACATTCGGGTTCAAATACGGTTTTTAATAAAATACGCCTAGTTGCAATTATCCTACACTCTTGATCATATAAGGCTTTTATAAACGAATGATTATTTATAATCGACTGTAAAATAAACTAATATGTTTCGGATTGCCAAGTTAAAATGACCACGATAATACATTAAAAATCCAATTACATTAACTAGATGTACAATAAACCTGTCTGCTTGCAATATTGAGCGGAGATAGCAAATTAATCCAATAATTTTCCATAATCAATGCTTAATCTGTTTCTCGTAAATCCATTTGTGAGCTAAGTTTAAAGTTTAAGTCTAAATATAATTTAATGTTTCTGAATAATACATTTTTCATTTTAATTTCATAGACAGTAATAATATTTTGAGCTAATATAAGAATGCATAAATGATATTCAACAAACACTGAAACTACTCAAATACATCTACACGTGAACCATCATTTCATAATAGCTGTACTTTAGTTACCATGCTAAAACCTTTTGTACGAAGCAAAACTAAGGTGCTTCGCAAAAAAGGTATTAAGACATAAAACCCCTATTAAACAATTTGACTTCCAATATTGATATTAAAAATTCTAGTAAAATCTTTGGTAAGCGTAACTTATAATCATAAATCCAAAAAAGGCCAAGCTGCTATATTTTCATAATTCATAGGAGCATCGAAACCAATTTTATATATTCCCAGGAAGCCTAAATAAGTGTTCACCTGAGTTAATAAAAACAGACTTATATCGAGGTTAGTCATACAGTTTAATTTTGTTTATAAAATAATATTCTTAAAAAAATATTATTACCATGAGCAAACTGCTAGTTCAGTCAATCACCGCTTGATGTTGCTACCATCGAGGCTCGCGACAGTTCACCTAATCTCCGCTAGATGTCTCTTCAACCGATAACACTTAATCCACTATAGTTTACATATTACTGATCGATTTTAAATGTTAAAACTAAATAAACAAAATAAAAACAAAATTAGTTTTAGGTAATATGTAGTAAGCTACACATTTAAAAATGTCTTAATTTCAATCTAAAGCTGTGGTATTTGACAATAATACATTTTCAACGGTTGACACTCGCAGTGAATTGTTAGTTTCTCTTACAAGACTACCCTCAACTGATCCGACTATCAGTAGTAAAATATTAGTCTGGAAAACCATTTTGATTCTTTTAGAAGCCGAGATTTGTGTCTCTTACCAGAGACCAATGATTGGCTTATAATTCAAATGGCTCGTTGTACCCGTTTCTTGACCTGTAATTTTATAAAACATCATATAAAACAAAAACAACACAAGAAATAATAACCCAGTCCATAAAGGTTTTGAAATGGAACAAATTAGTGACAATAAAATATATATACCACTGTATAGTACACACAAAGAAGTACATTGTACCAAAAGTCCCCAAAAATCCCCTCGACGTTTTCCCCTCCATCCCTCAAAGTCAGGAATTGCAAGGTTTTACTCAATTACGTATATATCCGATGTGGCTTATTAATTATTTAATTAATTAATTATTAATTATTTTGTAATTTAAGAATGCGTAAATGATATTCAAAAAACACTGAAACTACTCAAATACGTCTACACGTGCACCATCATTTCATAATAGCTTTATTTTAGTCATGCTAAAACCTTTTGTACGTAGCAAAATAAAGGCGCTTCGCAAAAAAGTTATCAAGACATAAAACCCCTATTAAACAATTTGACTTCCAATCTTGATATTTAAATACCCCCGCCGCAGTAAACCTGCCGACTAAGCGAATTTCCATTTGTCTGAATTGATTTTCAGTTAAATATATTTTAATAACATTAGGTTTAACGAGTACCTAGGTTTGCTGTTACAAGGAAACTAATAAAGTGTGTTTTTGAGTAAAATATTGATAGCTTAGTACAAAATAAATAAATTTGCCAAGTTTGATCAAAATATATCCATAAACAAGCAAACTACAACATTTGACAATATTCTCCATAAGAATAACATGGGAATTTTAAATTTAAAATTTTTTTAATTTTCTCCGTTACTAATAATTGAACAAAAATACTTTTATATACTAAATTATTTGTTTTTTTTAAGCTCTTTAAAAAGGTCTAAAGAGAAATCGGGAAATTTTGTGTTTTGAGGGTCAAAAGTGAGAAAAACCAATTTTTACCCCATAAAACCCCCCGTAAATCCCCGTTCCCATGGTCCGATCGTGCTGGTTCGCGAACTCATTCAAGTTTATCCCGCTTTACACCTTTAAACCAAGTTTCATCAAAATCGGACAAAAATTACTCAAGTTATCGCGTTCACGGACGTATATATATATAAGTCTAACTCCTTGCGGGATGTCCCAATGATACGACAGAAAACTTACAGTTCCTTCAAAAGCTATAGTTTTAGCATTGACTATTGGATGTTGTATTGATAGTCAAAGGTTTTAGGTTCCGTTGTTCCAAAATCCAAATCCAATTCTTCTACGTTGTTCCAAATCTAATTGATTTATCTGTATCGTTTAGAAAATATTAAACACGTGCGTGACTTGATGGATAATCCCTGTATAGATAATCTAACACTGTGTGATGGACGAGTGTCTTTAGTTTCTCGTTAAAGCTGTCGGAATCTTAATTGTAGTAGTCAAGTTTTTATTTTTAAATGCACAGATTACAATTTACTTTTCATACAGTTACCTATCAATGTACATGTTCTCTCACTGATTTGAGAAAGCAAAGTGGCCAATTCGCTCATCAGCGAGACAATGTTAACATTGTCTCACTCCAGATTTGCAACGTGAAGGCACGAAGTAGTGAGCGCGTACATATATAAAAATTTGAACGAATGGTGTTTTTGGCCTCTGGGGACATCAAAATGAAAAAGTAAATCGGTCCCGGGTCTAGGTCTTACCGTGCCACCTACGGTAATAGCTACTTCCCTATAGGGAAATTCGCTAAAAAAATAATAAAATTGTTGTTAAGCGTAACTTAAAATCATAAAACCAAAAAGGTCTAGGTGCTATATTTTCATAATTCATAGGTGCATCGGAACCAATTTTATATATTCCCAGGAAGCCAAATTAAGTGTTCACCTGAGTTAATAAAAACAGACTTATATCGAGGTAAGTCATACAGTTCAATTTTGTTTTTAAAATAATATTCTATAAAAATAGTTTTACCGTGAGCAGTTTTTAGACTAGTTCAGTCATTCACCGCTGGATGCTGCTACCGTCGAGGCTCGCGACAGTTCATCTAGTCTCCGCTAGATGTCTCTTCAACCGATAACACTTAATCCACTATAGTTTATATATTACTGATCGATTTTAAATGTTAAAACTAAATAAAATATAAAAACAAAATTAGTTTTAGGTAATATGTAGTAAGCTACACATTTAAAAATGCCTTATTTTCAATCTAAAGATGTGGTATTTGACAATAATACATTTTCAACGGTTGACACTCGCAGTGAATTGTTAGTTTCTCTTACAAGACTACCCTCAACTGGTCCGATACATACATTATTTTTAGAGGTGATGTTTTCATGTTAATTTCGTTCTTTGAGGAGCCGAGAGTTGTGTCTCTTACCTGAGACCAATGATTGGCTTATAACTCAAATGGCTCGTTGTACCCGTTTCTTTACCTGTAATTTTTTAACCATACTAGCTGTGTACCTGTTCTACGCACGGGGATCTCATAGTATCAGTTGAAACCTTCTTATATAAAGAACAGTAGTTGGTTTGCATATTTTCAGATATGCTGGCCAAACTATTTATTATACATAACTTCATTTTATGTCGTTTAATGTTGTTCCGGATCGGTATGACAATCAATAAAAGGCTAAATTACCTGTGTCCGCCGGTCGATCCTAATGTATCCTATTACAGGAGATGCATTTCGGCGAAATTAAATCGCCATCATCAGTCCTAATATAAGGTCTTGAGCTTCCCCATTAGGTGCATCTTGGAGTTTTTGAAACACATACACGAACTGTACACTTATACACATAACGAATAAAACATAAATACACGGTAGGCCTACTTTTATTTTTACTATGGACGGACAAGTAGACTCGCGTCGGTCGTGTGCCGAGTCTTGACTGAAAACGCTCATTTAAAAAATGTAAGTT